ATTAAACGTGTCCCAGGTCTAAACGGCACCACTAGAGTCACGGTATTTTCAGAACATTTTCAACAAGTTATCCTGATGCAAAGTGCTGGGGACAAATTTGGCCATTTCCAAAAGTGGTGTAGACATGTCTCCAGCATCCCCAGTGTAAATGTTGCCTCATGTTAGCAGACAGTTAATGTTCCTGAAGGTGGTATGATGCTTTAGAAAGCTGTCTCTATAACATGGTGTCTCCTGTGTTTCTCCGTCAGGTACTACGCTGACATCAGCCGCCTGCCGGCCATCAGCGATCAGGACATGAACGCCTACCTGGCGGAGCAGGCCAGGCTTCACTGCAACGAGTTCAACATGCTCAGCGCGCTCAACGAGATCTACTCCTACATCAGCAAGTACAGCGAGGAGGTGAGGAACACATGTACTCGCGCAGAACAAGTGTCTTCATGATGCATTCTGTAGGAACTACTGAGGTCTGTGTCCTTACGAGGGACAGTTTGGACCAAGGCCCCGTCCACACGGAGACGATTTCAGTTGTATCCGCTAAAGTTCTTTATCGTATAGACGGTTCGTCCACACGAGGCCGATTTCGGAGCCCGAAACCGATAAACGTTGAAACCGGCTCCCAAAGTGGGTAGGTCTGGAGACGACACGCTTGCGGCTCCGTGTGTACGCCCTATACGATCTTTTCCTGAATCGATGACGCCATGACCCCGCCTCTCCTGCTCACCCCCGCGTCATTGCTGATGCGTTTCGCCAACAACAATGGCCGATCACAGGGTTGCGTTCGTGCTCCAGACGCTACTGATTTGTTTGTTTATGCCTTATGCCCATGTTCGGGGTCTTATTCGCTGCTTTTGGTGTATTTTGTGGCGGGAGTACAGCGCCACTTACAGGCCCAGCGTATGTACTACAGCGTCTCCAGCGGTTTCGTTTGGACGGAAGACTTTTTTGAAACCGAATTCGAACAGAAGTCGATGGTGTGGACGGGGCCCACAAATCAAGGGCAGGAGTATTAATAGGACAGGTTGTCGTAGGAGCCACATCTAAATGAATTCTCTATGTTTTTGTTTATTATTTACTGTTTTTTACTTATTATTGGGGCTGGGCTTTTCACTAGAGCTTTGTCTTGGCATTGATAGAGACAGGGTGAAGTTACGGAGAGGTGAGGAACGCATGAACTCGCACAGAACAAGTGTCTTTACGATGCATTCTGCAGGAAATACTGAATGCTGCAATTTACGAGGGAAAGTTTGGACCGAATATTCTGCTGTGTATTTAAAAGAAAAATGAGAAACTTCAATCCCCTTAAAGACTAACTGAATCACACACACCTATTCTGACAGAGAGAAAGAAACTTAGAGCTGTAATTTAACTATTCATTTTTAATTTAGAGCGAGCTCTGGCAGGACGAGTGGTGCATTCAGGTGCTTCTGGCCCCATTTCCCAAGTTAGAAAGTCATTCTTCCAACGGTTAACGGGGTGTTCATGAGCTCTAAGTTGCAACGTGGAAACAACATGAATGCTATGATGAAGACTTGTTTATCTAATCCAGTTTTTGCACAGAAGACGGATCAGATCGGCCATGACTTTCTGCTGACTTTCCTAGATGTTGTTTCATTCACGGGGTGTTTAGGTTACGTCTCGAAGAAGTGAATGCATCAATAATGGTCTTTTTTTGCAATGTGGTGAATCCGCCCCATGGTTGACATCCGCTCCAAAATCAGACGCGTATCGTGATACGCGTCTGATTTTGGAGCGGATGTCAACCATGGAATTGCAGATTGCAGAACAGTTGTGTTTCAGAAATGTACTGTGCCTCCTCTGTGTTTCGCACGCAGAGGTTAGCGAGGTCAGATCAGAGTCTTCAGCAGACTTCCCCCGAGGTGAGCGTTAACAAGGCGGCGTCTGATCTGTAGCAGAAAGTGATGTCTACAAGCTCCCAGCATGCTCTCTGCTGAGCGGAAACACACACACGCTGTCAGATCACAGGAAGAGGGAAGGAGGAGGAGGAGGAGGAGGAGGAGGAGGAGGAGGAGGAGGAGGAGGAGGAGGAGAGTGCATGTATGGAGACGTGGTGCCTCTAATGTCAGCGGACCCTCTGGGAGGCATTAGTCTGACCTTTGTGCTGCTCTCCTTTTATTTCCTCGCTCTCTACTTCCTGTACCTTCCTCCTCTTTTCAAGCCATTATCCAATCAGCCTCCCCTTTGCTCTCCATGAACCTCACACTCTGCTGCCTCAGCTGTCTGATGCAAACTCTTCCTCGTGTAGCAGAACACACATACTCCACACGTGCAGCCCCAAAAACGTGCGTTAAGAACCTCTTATTTACGGCTCTGCACAAAGGGCCCGAGCTGCGGATACTTAAATGGATTTGGGGAGAGATGCACCTGCATACAGCGCTGCCGATTAATAATACATTGCTGCGATGAAGAGGAGGATGAGGAGGAGGAGGAAGCGCTGTAGCTGCCAGGCTTTAAGAGCACTTAAGCAGACGAGAGGAAGAAGGGAGGCTCTGCTGCACACAAAGGGCTGCCGGGAAACTGAAACGCCAACAAAGAAAACCTCAGGAAGAATATTAGATGTGTTTCTAATCGACTACATGACGAATAAAATAGTTTGAAAAAAGGCTCATTAAATGCAGATATTTGACCAATATGCATGATTTCTAAATTGCTGAGCCTCATGGTGAACTTGGTGAAGGAAAGGAGACTCGCCGTGCTCTGCAGAATAACTGAGGACTGAACAGAACACCTCTAAATGTGTCTACTCCACTGAAGGACACCAAAACGCCCAATAAAACAGTTAGAAGGTATAAAAAAAGGCTCGTTAAATGCCTGTAAAACTGACATCGTATATATTATGCATGATTTATAAATTGCTGAGCCTCATAGTGACCTTGCGTATGAATACAGAGCACTTGAACGAGTCGAGGAAAACGACTTAGATTCATCCAAAGTGCTTCTCCACGGGAATAAATGGCGCATTGTGTGGGCGACGGTTTTTCCCATTTATTATTTATCCATTACCTCAGAATAATTGAAAGTACACATTGTGTAAGAGAGGTCAATTAATGATGTTGTTTAGTTGGCTTGTAAAGTGTCTGTGAGCACTAGGAAGAGAGCTATATAAAAACCACGCATTATTTTATTATTATTACTTCAGATAGTTTTCAGATTGCTTCAGTAGAAGTACGAATACTACACTGTACAAATACTCTGGTACAAGTCCTGTAATTAAGAGTAAGTCTTCAAAGTACAAGACTTGAGTAAATGTACTTTCCACCGCTGCATATACCCATATCAAAGGATGTTGTAATATTTGACATTGAAGGCTGAACATGTGTGGAACTGTCAGAGATGACAGGCGAGACACACAGATTCTGTCTCATCCTTTTCAACTCGACTTGACAAACGCCGCGTTTACACGATGGCGCCTCGGAAGATAAAACGAGGAAGGATTAAACACAAATGTTGCTCCGTGTTGTCGAAGACAGAGACCCTGATGTAACAAAGTCCCTCTCTTTCGTGTGATGGCTCTGCTTCACAAAGAAATACACAACTTTATCCTAAATCAAATCTATGAAACGTATCACAGTGGGAAGAGACAATGGGCTCTGCTACAGGACACTTTATAGGCTACATGTGGTCGCTTCCTTTGTTTTCGTGGTCCTTCTATAGTGGATTTGTTCCTCTGTAGTCATTTTGTGTTCATGAGTTGTGCGTCTCTTTTTAAGTCATTTCCTGTGTCTGTTGTCGTCTTTTTACAATGTTTTGTACTCCTTTTACGACTCTTTGCCATCATTTTTATCTTTTTGTGGATCTTTTTCTGACTTTTGTGTGTTTCTATGGACATTGTGTGTCTCTCTGTAGTCATTTTGTTCTCTTGTTATGTCTTTTTCTAATCGTTTCATGTCTCTGTGGTCATTTTGGTTCACTTTGTAGATTATTTGAATGTCTTTTGTCGTCTTTTGGATAATTGTGTGTGTCGGCATTCAGTGTTCCTTTGTCGTCCCTCTACATGTTTTTGTAGTCCCTTAACGTCTCTTTGATGTCACTGTGAGCCTCTTCCTGGTTGGTACTTGTCTCTCCAAGCCACATGTTGTAGGTGAAGTCCAGGGAAGGGTTCTTTGGGCCCCTCGGTTGCAAGGTGCATCGACCTCATGTATTTTGCCTGTATTTGACTCTATTTTTCTGTCCCCCACAGATCACGGCGGCGCTGGAGCAGGACGAGCAGGCGAGGAAGCAGAAGTTGGCCTACAAGCTGGAGCAGCTGATCGCCGCCATGTCTCAGGAGAGCTGAGGACCCTCAACACACTCCACATCCACACTCATATGATTTCCTCCTCACACGGATCCGCTCAGGGCCACAGACTGAGAAACAGAAACCCTGCAGCTGGAGGACCGTCAACAGAGGACATGGCCCCTATTTATTTTATTTTTCTCAAAGAATATTCCTGTGTGTGTGTGTTGTGTGTGTGTGTGTGTGTGTGTGTGTGTGTGTGTGTGTGTGTGTGTGTGTGTGTGTGTGTGTGTGTGTGTGTGTGTGTGTGTGTGTGTGTGTGTGTGTGTGTGTGTGTGTGTGTGTGTGTGGTGTGTGTTGTGTGTGTGTGTGTGTGTGTGTGTGGAGGACTAGATGAATCCTTCAGTGTGAACCGGAGGAGCAGATCTCGCGTCGCATCCAGATTTTTATTTTTGTACTTGTACATTTGAATATTATCAGTTGCAGTCCCACCCAGGAGGACCCTGTCGTTGTGCAAAGACAAAGAAGACGACATCAGGGTCTCCTCTCACTTTTCCTCGGACTAAACCTCCGCTCTTTATCACGAACCATGAATCCGATCTGATCGTGAAACATGAAGCTCGTCATCTCAGAGTCTCTGGAGGACTTCAGCCGGCATGCACCTGAACAGAGGAGAGGACATATTTAGGAGAATCAATCTGGAGTCCAAGGCTTTCTTTTTTTGTTCTTCTTTTGGTCATCTGTGTATGAACCGGTTACCAAGCAGTGTCTGTGAATGTACAGATGTTTTCTTTTCTGTTTGCAAACACAAAGGGGCTCAGTTGAGCTGAGTGAAGTCCATTCGTCAGACCGCTTCCCAAACATTATCCCCAGGTTCATGCGTTATCAGGGGATTAAACTGGTGTTATTTATTAGTGGTAATCAGCCTTTTTATATTCAGATGGGCAATGAATGTGTACCAACGTTTCCGCAGACTTTCCATGGTGCTGTTTCGACTTAAGGAGCTATTTAGTTGACTTCTTATGGTCAGGAAACAATTGTTGTGGTTATTTCTGTACTACGAAAATACAGAACAATTTCATTTTCTTTGCAATGTTGTGTATCCGCCCCACTGATTGCGATCCGCTCCAAAATGTACTATGTTTTTCCTGAGCACATGCCACAATCTTCCAACACATTTCATTTAAATCGGGCTGGTCGTTTTTCTCTAATCTTGCAGAATGCTGTAAATATAACCCCCAAACACAACATCATTTTTCATGGCAGCATAAAGCGCAAGAACAACGTTGGAGATGTATGGGACAAAAATGCTTCGTTTGACAAGAGCCATTATCTACACGCAAACCATTACCTTTTCCTAAAACTAACAACTACTTAAAAGTAGTTAACAATCTGACGTCACTGGTTGGCGAAACACAGGCAGCGCCGACAACAATACTGTTTTAAAATAATCGGTACACAGTTGGAAACAGAGAGGCTAGCTAGCTAACGTCGTCTAAAAGCTGTCTAGTAATTTATGTAATGATTCACTTTAATCAAGTTAAACAATATTAAAACCAGGTGATTTAAATCTTCCTCAGAGTGGGTCGATCACCTCTTCAGTTCTGTATCGATCTGTGGGGCTTTATAGCTCACCATGCTAACGCACTACCTTCCGAGTGCTGTATTTAACGTGATTAGCATGTAGCTTTAGCCCACAGGAACGTGTGTTTACACACACCGATTGCTCCGATAAGTAGTCTGCGTTTAAAGCAATTAACCGAACTACCTTTCTAAACATCTATGTAGCTGATTATCACTCATTCTGCAGATTTCATCACCTGATAACGTTTAAAATCTGTGTCATTATCCACCTGAACCACACTTCTCTCGAGTAGAGTGTGTGTGTTCACATAACCACGGACTGTATCTCTTTGGGATCAACTTCCTGTGTGTTTGCATGCTATCCAGGGGCCATCTTACATTTGATCAAGTGCCAACGAGTCCTGCCAGCTCCGGTTGGCCAGCTGAGATGTTCCTCGCACTGACAATAAGATTCAGTTTAAACAAGTGCCAAAAGATCCAGTCGTTTCAAATAGTCCTCTAATGTGTCATAAATCGGTTTATGCTTTACAGAGGAGCAGAGCTGTCATGTTGGAGCCGGTTAAAGCTTATACATAACTGGAATTCTTTCACACACATACGGGTTTTGGGCCGAGGGCGACACCGTACTTCTGGTATCCACCATTTCACACGAGGTGCAAGCAGAATATCATAGTCTATTGCTTTAATCAATATCTAGTCAACTCTAAAATACCACATATATGCAATGGCATGATAATATTATTGTGACAAGTGGGGTATTCACCTGGTGTTTCTAGAAGATAGACGTAGATGCTGCCAAAATCGACCGAAGGCCACTTTCGAGAGTCGTTTTTCCATACATCTGCAGGCAGTCTGTAAGGGCAATCGGACAACCCACACAGCTCTAGTTTACGCTGGTAACGACCTAGAGCACACCCTTCAAGTCCAGAGATGTAATCCGAAGACATGCAGCGATTTCTTCGGTCGTTAATTCAGAAAAAGCCTGGCTACGTTAGCTAGCTGTTTATATTTGCACCTCCAGGATATTAGCACCTCCAGGAAAATGGCGTATTTCTATATAGATATATGGCGCGCGTTGCATTGTGGGTAGCTCGTGACGTCACTGTGTGTGAAAGAATACAGTAAGTTTTTTTTAAAGGTACGAAACATAAGCAGATGATAAATAAATATACAAGTGTTTCATGCTGCGTCTGCTGACTTAAACCTAAGAGGCTGACCTGCGAGCTACAGTGAGAGATTTCACCGTCTGGACTCGTTTTCTTCCGGGATATATGCTTGTTGTTTACATCAAGTACTTGAACAATAGGTAGTATTAAAGGTGTGCACAGTGTGTGTTGAGAGCATGACCAACATCAGTAGTGGGTGAAAGGTGCTTTTTCTTTTCTCTGTGGCCTTAGATACCCACCTGATCTTATTAGTCCTCTGATCCGGCAACTCTGCTGAGAAGTGTCTTAGCGAGATAAGGTAGAAAAGGTGAACAGGGTACGGCGGACATCGCCTCGCTCAGCACTCGGCTCTCCTGAGCTGTTTGAAGAGGAAGTGTTGAGAAAGAGAGAGAAGCCCTTTAGCTCTAGTTTCCTGCTCCGGCTTTGAAGCTGCTCTTTGATCTGAGGCTGTGTGTGTGTGTGTGTGTGGTGTGTGGTGTGTGTGTGTGTGTGTGTGTGTGTGTGTGTGTGTGTGTGTGTGTGTGTGTGTGTGTGTGTGTGTGTGTGTGTGTGTGTGTGTGTGTGTGTGTGTGTGTGTGTGTGTGTGTGTGTGTGTGTGTGTGTGTGTGTGTGTACGCACAGTGCGATCAGGAGATGGAAAGAAGAAACATCAAACTAACAGGCGAGGAGGCATGTAGGATGAGGTGAAGTTGGACATGCAGTTACTGAGTCCAGCCAGCGGAGGCAGCAGAGGGGAAGAGGAGCTGATATTTGTTCCCTCGTCTGAAACAAGCACCTTCTCCCAATTAACACCTAAAGAGTGGTGCAGGGATTTATTTATTTCTAGTGGAACCTGAAGGCAGCATCTCCCTGATTCCCATCACTAAAAACAAATGGGATTTCTCCATGTGATTTTGGTTAATGTCAGAAAATAATTTCTGTGGCAAATACACGTTTATGATACTTACACGTTTAGTTCAGCAGGATAATCTCCACATATTAACACCACTTTAGGATTTCTGTAGTAAAAAGCTAACATTATGCTCTAAAGGAACTACAGCACGGTCACATGACTTTACGTCACCACCGCTAAGCTAAAGGCGGCTAATTTTGGGCTATAAAGGAACTACAGCACGGTCACATGACTTCACGTCACCACCGCTAAGCTAAAGGCGGCTAATGTTGGGCTATAAAGGAACTACAGCATGGTCACATGACTTCACGTCACCACCACTAAGCTAAAGGAGGCTAATGTTGGGCTATAAAGGAACTACAACACGGTGACATGACTTCACGTCACCACCGCTAAGCTAAAGGCGGCTAATGTTGGGCTATAAAGGAACTACAGCACGGTCACATGACTTCACGTCACCACCGCTAAGCTAAAGGTGGCTAATGTTGGGCTATAAAGGAACTACAGCATGGTCACATGACTTCACGTCACCACTGCTAAGCTAAAGGCGGCTAATGTTGGGCTATAAAGGAACTACAGCACGGTCACATGACTTGACGTCACCACCGCTAAGCTAAAGGCGGCATTTAGACACTTGTTAGCAATCGCAGTTTTTAAATCCACCAGTGGGGTATTTACTGACGTATTTCATGTCGTAGAACAAAGCGTTAACATCTCTTCAGCTTGTGTTAACCACAGACCTTATTGCAGGCAACCAGAAACACAATCAGAAAACATTCCTACGAGGGAACAAGAAATGCTGACTCATTTCCAGGATTTTGACTCATTCCCGCACCACTCTATAGACACACCCATACAGTAGGTCTGCAAACACTTAACATAAAGCTTCCTTCTTTTGATTAAGGTGTCTTCCCAAGCTCAGCAAATAGAAATGTATCCTCATACCTCACATTGCTTGTATGGAGTAATGCTTTTTATCATTTTAAACCGGACCTAAATGCCTTTTTCCTTTTTGCAAGGGATGAAACAAATGTACGTTTATTAGTCTCTCCAACTCTCCGCTGTATTCAGATTGTGACGTAATCAGAGGCTCGCAAATTGTTTTTAAAGTGGCTTTGATTTTCCTCTCACGGATCATTTATATCAGGACGTTTCCTTTTTATCTTGTGTGAGATTTTGCATGCGTTTTAATTCATGCTTTTGTTCTGCCTGGTATTCCATATCGATCCACACGGACTGCATTTATTCCCATCTGTACAACGTCTCGCATCGCAGCTGAAAGCACCTTCTTTTTATTTGTGAAAGAGATTTGTTTTGTAACTAGATATAGCTCTTAATTATCCATGCTGTAAAATCATTTCTGGCAGCATTTTAATTCAATTTGAAATGAGGAAAGTTTGTTTACTCTTTCCGCGGCGTGGAATCCCATTTGACTGGCGGTGGTGTGAGATCGATGCTCGTAAACGTAACCTCATATCAGCTGATTGCTAATGGAAGAAGCTACGTGCACTTGGCTTGAGAGATGGCGTTACTGCTGTTTCAAAACAAAGCATTTAATCAGCAGTTTTGTTTGCTTTCCGGCATCAGACAGAGGAATTGAAATCCCAGTCATTGTATTACTCTCAATTCAAAATATCATCAAGTATAAAATCCTTCCATTTTTAACACGTTGTAAACAAGCCCTTTGTAGACACTGGAGTTCTGTAATATAGTAATTAATGGCAATGATGACGATGATAATAATAATGGCTGTCTGTTCTTCTTGTTTTATAAAAGTGTTGTGAAAATTGTAAGAAACTTAAAGTATTTAAAAAAAGGTTGTTCTCTTGTTTTGTTTTTTTATTTGCTTTGATTTTGTTATGATAAGATATTATTGTGTACCTATTGTAAATATGAAGCACACCTATTTTGCAAGCCAAGGATTCACTTTGTACTGTTGTTATATATAAATAAACTTTGCTGGTTAAAAATTGCATAGAGCTGAAATCTGTATTCGTGTCTCTTTGTCGTCAGAAACAATTATGATTCCACATCAGTGGTGGAAAGTGACTAATTAACCAAGTACCCTACTTAAAGGGGACCTATCATGCTATATTTGAAAACATATATTGTAGGGCCATACCTATATAAAACATGTCTGTGAAGTTGTTTTTTCAAAATACCAAACAGATCACCCATTGTAGCCATGCCTCATACTGCTCAAACCCCTCTTTTGCAGCCCTGTTACTGGCCGTTTCTCAATCGCGAGGATGCTGGCTTGGTAGTCGCGTACTTCCAAGTCACTTCCTTCAGAAACGAAGCAAGTATGCTTCCAAGCCACGGCTTCGGAAAACGAAGAAGAATGGAACAGGCTAACAAGTGTGCCACTCTCTCTAACGGTTTCAACATAAACTGTACCGAAAATAAATACCTCACGATGTCTATCTAATTATGAACTTGCTTTACTTTCAC